TACACCACGACTATCACGTCACCAGGCTTCCACGCCACATCCAGAGATACCATACCCGAGCTATCACGCTCCATCCCAAAGGACAAGGCTGTCACGCCCATCATAGTTCCTACACTGTACCGTTGGCGGCTACCGCNCGCCACATCCAGAGATACCATACCCGAGCTATCACGCTCCATCCCAAAGGACAAGGCTGTCACGCCCATCATAGTTCCTACACTGTACCGTTGGCGGCTACCGCGCCGCTGGCTCTTTTATTTCCCAACCAAGGGACCCCGCGCGCCAAGGCACCGACGCACAAAGCTACTCAACACTCCTGATGACGTGGTCGCCGATAGACGCGTGTGGTTGATGAGGTTTCGTTTCCGCGGGCTCGTTCCTTCCTTTTTTGGCCCTCCTTTTTTCCCCTCTTGCATTATTTTTCCTATTTTGTCCTTTCATTTTTGTAATTTGTCCGCGTTGTTTTGCAGCGACGCGCGTCTACTCCCGCACGAAAATGAGCTATATGCTGCGATTGCAAAGGTAGCGACGCACGTCTTGGGGTTCCTAGGTTCCAAGTGCTCACCTTCGATGGGGACGTCAGAGGATTGCTGAGGATGGGGTCAGTCACCTTCGACGCACGCAGTTTCGCTGTCTTCAGCTGCGGCTGCTCCACCGCGATGCCATGTGTGTCCCCTCCCCGGTTGTTCAGGACTGCTCCAAGCGCGTCCTTTAATTCCGATAGCTTGGCGTAGAAGGGGTTCCCCGTCGACGACTATTGGTTGCTCGTCCTACTTGTCGCCGACATTGTTGCCCGTGGACCCTTGCCCGTGTGCATGTACATGGATGCGCATATTTTTCAAAAACGGGGCGTACCTTCCTTGCCGTGGTGGCGGACCATCCCCCGATGTATCCAAATATCAGAATACGGTGCCCCCGCGAGCTTTTTCCAACTTTTTACCCACTACTCTTTTTTGCAGTTTGTCCTCCCCATCCGACGTGCGCGATTGCCGCAAGACGATTTTTTGCCGCGGTCACAGTTGGAATAGTAATACGTAGACTGTACTGTAAGGATACGTAGATATTTGTTTTCGACCAGCACATACACATAGGACCCAGCACATGCATGCTCGCTGAGCTTGTCTTCATCTACCTGACGCTTTTTATTAGCCCATACTCCCTTGCGATCCATCTCGGTCTTTCTAAAGACCCAGTGGTAGCTTAGGTGTGCCTAGTGTTAAGTTGGCTCTTGTGCTACGTTTAAGCACCGTAAAAGTTGTTGCGTGTCGATTTGGTATCCTGTGCGCTGAGATCAAAGGACGATCTCGTAGACTATACTAGTAGCTTTTTACGACACCGCCCTACAGCGCCACCGTGCCCCCGTGGGAGAGCATATCTCCGCAACCACCGGTCGGATGGACATTCCCGATGGTCTCAACAATAGCGGGGAATCGTACCAGCACAGCGGACGTTGTCGTGTGTCATTTAACGACCTGTGCGCTGAGATCCGGGCGGTGTCGTATATAAGCTTATATACGCCACCGCCCTACGGCGCCACAGCAGTGCCCCGTGGGAGAGCATATATCGGCAGCCACTGGTCGGATGGACGTTCCCGATGGCTTGAATGATAGCCAACGGTCGTGTGCGTACCGTAAAAGTTGTAGTGTGTCATTGAACGACCCATGCGCTGAGGTAAGGGCGGTGGTGTAAATAAGCTTATATACGCCACCGCCCTACGGCGCCACAGCAGTGCCCCGTGGGAGAGCATATATCGGCAGCCACTGGTCGGATGGACGTTCCCGATGGCTTGAATGATAGCCAACGGTCGTGTGCGTACCGTAAAAGTTGTAGTGTGTCATTGAACGACCCATGCGCTGAGGTAAGGGCGGTGGTGTAAATAAGCTTATATACGCCACCGCCCTACAGCGCCACCGTCCCGCGTGGGACAG